AGACTCAAGAATCACTTTATTCGGAGTCCGAACGAATAAGTCATGGCTAGCGGAAGAAAAAGGTCCAAAGAAGGTAACCCAAGACCATCTAACCGTTTACAAGACTTTTTTAACCGGTTACATGGCAAAACAGAATGGTTGTAATGCTGCCATAAGTCATCTAATCGGTTACGAGAATCAGACCACCCGTACAGTTGTATTATAGATCAGTAAAAAAGCTAATAGCTAGGGTTTTTCGAAAAAAAAATGAGTTTTTGAGGGCCAAGATGACATTTTTTGGAAATAAAGTTATGAAGTGACCCCCCACCTAAAATCACGTTTTCTGGTCAACCATGTCAAGACCAACATTTTTTTTCTCAAGTGAAATACCTAAAATACCCCTAAACCAAATTATGCAAAAAAAATGTAAAACGAGTCCATAGGAGGCTCAAATCACCAAGAAAGAGATTTTGCCCGGAAACGATCATGCACGCAGACGTAACTTACCTATTAGGATGTGCTACACTGATCCACGGCTTAAAAATACCGCTGATGCAAAATATGAACTATCCAAACCCCAATGCGTGAAAAATGCTTTTGAAAGGCAAACAATGCAACGACCGGACTTTAAGGTAATCAAAAGACCGTTTGGCCCTTGGCCACACTTCATGCATATTAAATGAGACCTAATGAATGTGCTCGTGCACATTTTGTACCACCCGACTTGGAAATGAATCCTTAAAGGCTCGGATTTTCCTATTTTAGCCCAAAAATGCAATATATGAAACTAGAATGCAAAACCCAAAACAAAATGGTGTTTGGCCCTTGGCCACACCTCATACATAATAAATGAATGCCAGAGAACAATTTTCATATACAATGCATACTTCAGTGCAAGAATGACATGCTAAAACCATTGTTCTTCATATTTTTCACATTTAAGGCAAAATTCTACATTTATGGATATATATAGATTTCAAATAAAGTTTGGCCCTTAGCCACATATCATATACATAAAATAAATATCAAAAAGTGTACTTAGGCATATATTACAAGTCTCAAGATAAAAAATGACATTTTGATCTAACTATGTATTATAACTTGAAATAACAAAACGATGCATGCTAATACTTGCATGCTCGTTAAAATACATTTAAAAGAATTTAAATCCATCGAAATGACCTAGGGATATTATGCATCCCGGAACCAAGTTTTCTTGCCTGAAACGGGTCGCATTCAGTGAGGGGTGAATAAACCGTATTACTCGTAGGGAATGCGCATGCATAGACCTAACTTTTTACAAAGTTACCAAATTAACATGAAACAATTCAAAAGGATCATATCACCTAATGTCTATGTTCCAAATGAGTCTAAGGGGTCATCTCAAGCTACTCATGCAATCGAAATGAACTACAACATACCAATATACATGCTCAAGTATACAATCATATTACAACAAGTTATACAGTGTCTAAACATACATACACAATTATACAATTAATATGGAAAACTTATAAATCAAGTATATAATCACAAGTATACTAAGCTAAATGAATTACGCATAAGACAAGTATACACGGCACAAGTATACTAAATGAAGTTTAAATACACAAGCAAGTATACCAGTTCAAGTATACTAAATGAGATTTAAATACATAAGGCAAATACCAATTCACAAGTTACAAGTAATTCATGATTAACAACTTAGAATTGAATGCGAAATCAAATCAGATAGTGGAAGGACCAGGAATACTTGGTTACTAACTAAGCAAGTTATTCTAGGTAATTATGACCCGAAAGAAATTACCTAATTGGCGTGTATAAGTTATTTCGGGCCATTACCACTTATAAGGTACTACCTATGCACACTTCATATGACTAAGGAAACTCTTCTCGCCGTACTAGAGCCAATGTGACGGCCCTGGTTTTTCAAACCAGTGCGTGCTGTGATGAATCAAAGATTGACCTAATAACGGATCCGAATGAGGAAGCGAAAACATAAAACAAGACTCTAAGAAGTCAAAATGACCTTCCATGAGGCCACGAATCTCAACGAGAATAATGCAGAAGCGAAAGATCAGAAAAAGACCGAACAGGCCTCCAAGGGTAAATTAGTCTTTTCACATGGAAGCAACATCCTTGGGAATGTACATCATTCCTAAGACACATCTGTGACTTCCCATGAAGTCACGGGACTCAAAATAAAGTAGCGGAAGCGAATTAAAAGAAAACTGGACAAATTTAGCCCCAAGGGCAAAATGGTCATTCCAGAAAATATAAAATCGGGTGCTACCGAGCACACCACTGGAAAAACAGAGAAAAACTAATCAAGTTAGACTCAAGAATCACTTGATTCGGAATCCGGATGGAAGAGAAAAGTCAAAACAAAGTTTTGACGTCGCTGAGACCATGAATAGTGTTTTGACAGTAATGAATAGTAACCTAGGCAAAATGCTGAAATTCGTGTGCCATTTTGAGGCACTAAACGATGTTTTTTTGGAGAAACATGAAAAAGAAACCCATCTCAAAATAATTTTTCCAAGCTGACCATGTCGAAAGAAAATTTTATTTTTGACGTGAAATTTCCAAAATGCCCTTATAACAGACTTTTTCAAATAGTGCCGGTGCGCACACGAAATTAGATTTGATGCGGGGTTTTCGGGTCTGAGACGACAGTTTTTGGAAAAACATAAAGAAGAAACCTCCTTTAAAATTATATTTTCTACCCGGCTATGTGGAAGAAAATGAAAAAAAAAAGCTGTAAAATTCCTAAAATGCCCCTAGATCAGCATAGGGTCAAGAGGGTGTTAAAAAGCTGCTATAGGGGTATTTCTGAAATCTGCCAGAACAGAGAGCAAAATCGGGGCCCTTAACGACATTTTATGAAAAAACAAAAAAAAGAAACCACTTTCAAAATCGAGTTTTCTACCCGGCATAGCTAGAGAAAACGAAAAAAATACACTGTGAAATGCCTAAAATACCCCTAGATCAGTAAAGGGTCAAAAACTCAGAAAATGCAACTTTGCACAAAGTATGCATTTGACCCTAAATGCATTTCTAGGTTGAAACGAATGTGCACGTAAGTGTAATTAGTGTTTTCAAGCATGCAGGAATGGTCTGCGGCTCCCGAGAAGACCCGATGCAAAATTCGACCCCCTAACGACCAAAAAAGGTGAAAATGCACATAAAAGGGGGAATTTTGAAACTTCAAATTATAAAATGATTTCAAATTACCGTTTGGCCCTTGGCCACACTTCATGCATGATTAATGAGACCCTATGAAAGAATAAAAATGGAATTCCCACACTCGATGCAAATATGGTGAGGCAATGACTTGTCATATATCAATATTTTCATAATATTTCATGAAATCAAAAGTTACTTAGGATACAAGATACATGTCAATGACCTCCACCCTCATTTCATACATGTCAATTACATCGTAAAAGGTGTACTTATGTACATGTTACATATATAGAATCAAAGATACAAGTTTTGACATATAAGGCTAAAAAATGACATTTCAAGCTAACATTTGCATGAAATAGAAACTTAAAAGTTACAAGTCGTCCAAGGAATGATGTGCATCTCAAACTAAGGTATCCCTACCTAAAAATAATATGGTAACTTCGAGGTGAGTAAACAAGTTACTCGCAGGAGATGAGCATGTAAAGACCTAGCATTTTACAATAATATCACCTTAAGGTGAAACATATTAAAGGGACTCATGCCACCTAACGTCTATGTCAAAATGAGACTCAGGAAGTATCCTAAACTACCTTAGAGTATTTCTAGCATAAACCACATCATTCATGCACTTTAACAACATAGGAGCATATAGTATAAGGTAACAAAACATAGGTATTCAAAGTTATCAACTTGCCACCTATAATGTAAAAACAACCAAAACGGTTCATGCCACATAACGTCTATGTTCCAAATGAGTCTAAGGAATCATCCTAGGCTACATTAAACAATCAATACCCAAATTACAATATCCATGCAATTTTAACCAACATTAGAACTTCTAATACAACACATCAAGGCATATATCATCAAAGTTAACACCTTGAAATCTAAAATACGGAAACTACAAGTTATGACAATTTAATGCTATTAACTTGTATTAAAAAGCAAGGCATGCAAGTATACTAAGCACATGTGTACTACACCTAATTGAAATGTCAAACACCACATCGCTAGTTATAAATAATCCATATTAAACAATTAGAAATTGAATGCGAAATCAAGTAGTGGTGGAAAGATAAGAACATACAGTCTCAATGACCAAGCAAGCTGATCTCGGGTTACTAGCCCTCAGGGAACCACCTAGTGCGTACTAAACCCGGAATTAAACCGTATATTGGTGTTTTAGGGTTACTATCCCTCAGGAAACCACCCGGTATGCACTATATGTTATAGGGGGAGTTTTCATCCTCCGTACTAAAGCCATGCCCTAGCCGTAACATATTACAATGTCCTCATAACCTTTCCTAAAATCATCAAGTCGTACATCAAGGTATAATACATATACATAATATATTAGTCAACTACCACGCACAAATAAGTCAAGTAAAACGCATAATATTCATCCTATGTCTTCAAGCTGTAATGGCATATGACATATTAAATATATAATGTGTATATAAGCAAGTTAAACTATAACTTCTACTTATGGAATACTATAATGCAATCATACAACAAGTTCCAAATTTACAAGTTAAGCATGAAAACAACTTCAATACCTAACTACTTTAATGGAAGCATATAAATGGAATTTAATTAAACTAAGTAATTAAATTCTCAAGTATACAAAGCCACTCCAAAAGTTCTAAAAATAACATATGTCAAAGGTTATATCAATGCCTAATTTACTATCAAGTCACAAGCTAATTCTACCTTATGCCTAATTTACTATCAAGTCACAAGCTAATTCTACCTTATGTCACGCCCTGAATTTTTTCTAAATAAAATCCTCGATTTCATTAAATCAAAATACTTCATAAAAGACACCCAGGATCTCAAAAGAAATAAAATACCCTTTATTGATACAAAATCAATCAAATTTCCTCAAATAAATAAGACAATATCTCAAATTAATTAAATTGATACTAAATCAATTTTCTCAAATAAATACATAAAAATCTCTAAATAAAATAATTTAATTCCTCAACTCCTACTGTTCCACCTAATCCCGCAACTAGCAATCCAAGCTTATCCTCGGTACCTAAAACTGTAGGGGGGTGAGACGGGAGAAATCCTAGTAGGAAAAACCATAACAAGAATCTCAAAGAGGTTTCATGAAAATTAGTTCACAAAATATAAATATATTTTTAAACAAAAAATATATATATGCAATTTAACCAAAACAGCATTAACAAAATATTTGAGATAAAATTACCCAGGCAATTCAAGGTATAAAGAACCCCACCCTGTGAAAGAATAAATTAACACTAGAATATCAAAGCCACAAGTCCGGCGCTCTGTGTAGACTCTTGGCTCTCTCCGTAACTCTAAACTCTCTCTGTAATCTTTCCTCTATTATTTGTATCATTACCAAGGTTACAAGACATCCAATATTTATAAAGCATTCTACCGACATAAAATATCAATTCAGCTTACCAAAATAAAATATCACATTTTTGAACCAAAAAGTCCAGTTGGGTCCCGCCACCCTATCTTTGTTCCTTATCTTTATATTACATTCATTCATCTGAATCTACAAACTTAACAAATACAATTTCTCTCTCCAAACAAAAACACATTATCACGTGTATAATTCAAGGCCAAATGAATTTGGCCAAAAGTTATCAAGTGGGACCGCACCATCACCATCCATCTCAATTTCTTTCTCTTAATTTCGCTGCCAACGTTTCCATCAGACAATCACATAGATACATACAATATAAATACAAATGAAACCAAATTTAAGCCTATTAAATCATCACCAATGGGACCCGGTAATTATCAATTTCTCTTTTCATTATTTTCTTTATTTTTCCACTTTTCCTTATTCCTTCAACAGACATCAAAACCCATTTCTCTTCCCTCCATTTTGGCAGCTTACTGTATTGCATCATCACCAATTTATGTAATACATATCCAAGACTTAAATAATGAAAAGCTAATCAAAACCCACTTCTCTTCCCTTCATTTCGCAGCCCCTGTTTTCCCCTCTGAAGCAAAATGTATATATGTATATTCTATATACAATGAAACCAATTTCATGCCTATTAGATCGTCACCCATGGGACCTGCCAAAAGCCATATGAATTTTCCTTCTCTGAATTTCGCTGGCAGCCTCTTCCATTTGCTTCAACATTGCATAATTATATTTTATATATATTATGCAACAAAATAACCAAATCAATAATTGTCTCCAATATAACAAAAATAAAAATATCAATCTCCAATTAACAAATCTCCAATGAAAATTTTAATAATCAACTATGACAATGAAATAAAAATAATTTCAACTCTTAAAAATTCGGGTTGTTACACCTTAGTTACAACTAGGCAAATTAAACTTCATATAAGAAAATAATTAAATAAAAATTTCAAAACCTATTCAAATATTCTCAATTTAATATATGTGAAAGAACATAGCATGACATTATTTAAAATCAAGTTACAAGTTAATTCTACACTAGATACAACTAGGTTATTTAAATTTCATACAAGAAAATAATTAAATAAAAGTTTTCTAAACTCATTCAAATATTCTCAATTTAATATATGTTAAAGAGCATACCATACTCATTACATATATCAAGTCAAATGTCAATTTAAATGAATGTAACACTTGAATAGAAATTAATTAAACTAACTAATTAATTTCTCTAGAATTTAAATCAATTTCAAATGACTCCAAATAATTATATGTCAATGGTACTATCATGGTAATCACATCTATCAACTCAAAAACTTAATTAAGTAAGTGAAATAATTAAATAGAAATTAATTAATTCTAAATAATTAAATCTCTAGATTCTAAAACAACTCCAAATGACTTTATACTAATACAAGTTATAAATCAAATCATGACCTTCAAGAATATCATGTCCTATCTTAATTTCATGCAAGGTACTACAACCTATTAATTTAAAAATTAAGTATAAGACATGTAAACAATTTATTATAAGGTATAAAAACAATTAAAACACTTAAATTAAAAACCTAAATCACTCCGACCTCATAAGAGGATTGTTCCTCTTGAATCCAAAGCAAGCAAAGGAATTTTTGAATTTCCTTCAAGGGTTATATAAAGGACAGTGAGGCAAGTGTTTTGTGTTCCAAGATTTTAGGTCTAAGGTAAGTAGAAGGAGATCAAAATCAAGGTTTTAAGCCTAGGTTAATGGTTTCCTTTAATGGTGGCTAGGGTTCTAAATGAGGAAGAAGAAGTTAAATGCGTAAAATCAAATAATTAAAACACTTTAGTGTATTCCTCCACTCACTTGGTTAATGGAAGTCAAACACACCTAGTCTTGCACCATCCCCTCACACACACAAAAGCTAGACTTTAATTAGAAGTCTACACTTGTCATTAATCCAATGGTTCATTCTAGGCTTAATCTAAAACCTACACTTGTCAACAATCTAAGCCAACAAGTGCACCAATGCTAGGCCAACAAGTGGGTGAATCTCTACCCTCCACATGTCATCATCCAAGGTTTCCAAGTGTTAACCAATGAGATGCTTATAAGTGGCACAATGTGTGATACCCCTCGATTCTAGAGCCACTGGTGATCAAGTCAGAGCATAAATCCGAGAGATATCAAACAATTAATATGTAATTGAACATGGAATACAAAAAATGAATTAATAAATAAAATAATAAAAGCTGAAAAGAGTTCTAAATATTAAAATCCTCCAAAGTATAAATTAATATAATTTAAACTTTCCAATATCCGTACAACTCGGGAATCCACCTAGTGAACCCCTAACAATTCTAAATGAAAGTGAAATACAGAATCAAAACCCAACACTAAAATATGAAAGGAAATCCTACGCAGCCGGAGGAGTGAATGACTGTATCTGCTCAGCATAATCAAGCTCTAAGCCTGGAACTGACGAACACCTAAAAAATAAGAGTGGGTCAGGCTCACATGCAAGTTCTATCTAACTACAACCCATACAAAAATTCAATACGCAGATATATCCTAGATAGCTTGGTAATAACTAAAGTAGTCCATATAGATATAAATACATACTATAGGATGTTCACTAGCCTATAGTATAGTCTTAGCCTAAATAGAAAGTAACATGTAAATCACATTACGGTGTGCATGTGTACCTAGACCTACCAGGGAACATCAACTATATCTAGTTACTCATTCTAGGCGATATACGCACCCTAACCATGATCCTGAGACTCAAGCTCATATCACGGTACCATAAATATATATATAAATCCTTTCTAATACAGAATATAAAACAAATATCCAATATGTCGTTTAACTGTTTTAGTTAACAAGACATAAATCCATGTAGGATTTAACTGTTTTAGTTAATCCATTCCGTATATATGAATAGGTAGGAATTAGCGTTTTGATCTAATCCATCCCTAATATGTCACCATCCCATACCAGTACATATAATGCATATGATCCATAAATGATACACACTTATTTGAACATCAAGTACATCAAGAGACAAACATAATAGAAGTCAAATATATGCAAAATCCTATTATGCATCCAGTATATGATTATAAACATATAATCTCCGTTTAAATTGCTAGAATAATGATAAACAATTTAAACTATCCATATCCATATAATTGACGAAACAAAAATTATAATCGTTCATCAATTAAAATCCATAGCATGTTATAATGATAATCAGAAATACAAACTGAGCACATTATACCAAAATCCCAAAAATACATTTATACTAGTCCATTTAATTTGTTAAAACAAAACTAGTAGTTAAATCTTCCACAATCATTAACAGCATGCAAATTAATATATAAATTTCATAATGTCCATTTAATCCTCAACTATAAATCCAGAGTAAGCATAGCTAAAGTCTGATATGTATATGACCCTATGGTGCATCCAAAACAATGTCTAAAATCATGCTACAGTCCATTCAATCGCTAGAATAAAAATTAAGCGATTATATCCTTTATCCGTTAACAGTATGCCAGATTGTTTAAGCTTCCCTACTGTTAAATCCATTAGCACAAAGACATTAATTATGCTCTGTGAGTTCTAATATAGCATAATATAATGTTTAAAGTCCTTACTATTCACCCAAAACAGTCCAAGAATTTCAAAAATACCAAAACAGTCTATCAAACCACATCCAGTACCAAGTTTGGCATAAGAACATGCTCTCACAAGTTGAGAGCCTGTTCTCAACCATTGGGAGCCGGCTCCCACAACTTGGGAGCCAGCTCTGTGGCCTAGGGAGCTGGCTCTCTTAATCCATGGAGCCGGCTCTCTCTCTCACAGAAAGCCGTTACCCGTTTTGGTTTGTCTTCTTCGCCTCTGACGACTTTACCGAACCTACTATGATGTCTAATACAGTTCCTAGGGTTCAATTCATGTCCCACTAGTTCCAGAAACTCCTCAAATTCCAATACGAATTGTTAACAAGCTTTAAAACATAATTGATAACAGTTTATGCACAAAACAATTTCAGTTTAAACAAAACCACAATAGTTTATAGTTTAATTTAACATGCATAAAACATCTATTTTAAAGTTTAATTTAATTTCTGGAGACTATATAGCATGCACAGAACATAGGTTTAAGGGAAGGAGTTAGAATAAAACTTGTCTTTGGTTTCTGTTTTGAAACCTTAAACCACCGTCTCTAAGTTCTGACAAATCCCAAGACTGTTCTCCTCCTTTGTTGCCTCTTGGTTCAACCCATGAGCAACACACTTTCTTTCCTCCTTGAGCCTCACAGTACATGAATAGGGTTCTAAAACCCTTGGCAGACACCTAACTTATATATATATAGGCTTTTATAAAACCTAATTCTAATTCCAACCTAATTATAAGTCGGCTAACATAACTTCATAAAAGAAAACCCTAAACCTAAACTATATATGACACATATAAATTATAAACCAATTAAGTCCACCTAAGCATACACAGAATTAAAACAAATAAATCATATAAGCTATTAAATAAAACAAGTCAATTAAATCAATAATTAACCAAATAATTAAATTAAATAAATAATTAAAAAGTGAATTTAAATAAATACATAATTAACCAAATAAGCAAATAATTCAATGAAAATGCAATAAAATCTTTAATTAAAATACCGAGACTATCCTTTTAAAATTAGGGGTATTACACAATAAGAGCGAGACACTTGTCACTCTTTTTGATAATTACAAAAAGGTCTTTTTTGAAAATATCTTCCAAAATAAATTACAAAAAGGTCCCTAAGAAATAAAATAATTACTTTCTATAATTACAAAAAAATCCCAAAAACAAATAATGCTTCCGAAAAAATTATGCATCGATGCCCTTTATGGAAAAGTAAGCCACTAGCATACTTTTCTACAAAAAGTAAAAATAAATATCATGA